TTTGTTTGTTTGTTTGTTTTTAGTAGAGACGGAGTTTCACCATGTTAGCCAGGCTTATCTTGAACTCCTAACCTCAAGTGATCCACCTGCCTTGGCCTCCCAAAGTGCTGGGATTACAGGCATGAGCCAGGGTTACACAATTTTAGCAAGAATACCAAAAATGATATTGTGTCTTTCTTAATACATAAAATTAGGAGGTACATTATATCTATACTCAACTCGTTATGTTTATGGGGAGTTTTGTTTTGCAAAAGTCATTTTTAATCTAGTAACATTTATAAATGTTTAAAATTTAATTTGGATTTTGAGTCACAGTTAGAAAGCCTTTCCCTACACCAAGGTTAAAAATGAATTCACCCGTGTTTTCTTGTATAATTTCACTTTTTACACTTATGCTTATGAAGAGTTTCCAGTGACATCAGAAAATGCTTATATAAATATTAGCTAGATAAGAAATGAAACTGTATGTTCAGTATGATGTCGAACTTGTAAAAATAAAATTTTGTATATTAACAATGGTAATCTCTGGGTGGTGAAAGCATAGGCATTTTTTTTAATCTTTTACTAGTTTCTGTATTTTCTAAGTTTACTACAGTAACTATTACTTTTATAATCAAAAGAAGCACAACATGGTTTTTAAACAATCTCCAGTATTCTCCAGTGTCCCAAGAAAGCATGAAAATTGTTGAAATGACTGACATATTCCAGGAATCTCTGTATAAGTTAGCTGCTGTAAATATCAAGCCAAATTCTTTAGAGAACTCCAAAAAGAATGGATCGCAATGGTTACAATGATTTTATTATGTTAGCAACAGATGTCAAACATGACATTCCTTTTAGAAACATCCTGGGAGAAAAATGAACCACTGACAGTGGAGCTGCTTACATGACGTATTTGGGAGAACACTGGGACAGTTGAGAGAGTAAAGGTTGGAGCCAAGCAGACTTAGATTTAGCCCTGTGTAACACACATGCTACCTGTGTCACCATGGTAAGTTAATTAGCTTCTCTCACATCAGTGTTTATTTCTAAAATAGGGATAATAATAGCACTCTGAGTTGATGTTTACATTTGATGTCATACAGTGTGTCAAGTACTTAGTATAGTGCAGGTGCCTAAGTGCTCAGTAAATGATCATTATTATTATTTTGACCCTTCCAAACAAGGCCACCTTCTAACCAAAAAAATCATTCCAATTCCTTGAAGGGGATTCACTTCTGACCTTTTCATTGAAATCTTCTCCATTGTTTCAAGTTTCTAGTTGACCTCCCCGTCTGACATGTTTTACTACCTCGTGCCAAAATCTGTACAGAGCACTTTAAAATCAGAAGCAGCTCTATTTCAAACACTTGCAAGAGTAGAAAAAACAGCACTAGACAGATATTGACAGGAGGAAAACTGTTGGAGTTACTTGCAGTGGCCAATCCTAGAAATCTCTTATACCGGAGAGGTTAATATGCTGAAGTGAAAGACATCTGATTAGTGTGTGTGAGTGTGTGTGTGTGTGTGTGTGTGTGTGTGTTTTCTATCTTCCCAGCACAAATTCATGAAAGGTCTCACTGCTAACCACTGAGATTAGAAATTTTCGCCGGGCAAGGTGGCTCATGCCTGTAATCCCAGCTCTTCAGGCGGCTGAGGTGGGCAGACCACCTGAGGTCAGGAGTTTGAGACCAGCCTGTCCAACATGGTGAAATCCCATCTCTACTAAAAATACAAAAATTACGCATGGTGGCACACACCTGTAGTCCCAGCTACTTGGGAGGCTGAGGCAAGAGACTCGCTTGAACCCAGGAGGAGGAGGTTGCAGTGAGCTGAGATCTCGCCATTGCACTCCAGCCTGAGTGATAAGAGTGAAACTTAATCTCAAAAAGAAAAAAAAGAAAGAATTTTTTATGGGAAGATGCCATCCACTAAATGGAATGGACTTGGTTACATCAGGACTTCCTGATGATGACAGCATAGAAGATAGCTCACTTCTCAGGACTTCCTATTGCACTGTTACAGACAGGAAAAGCAAAACTGTCTTTGGCCCAACAGGCCAGCGCCGTTTGTTTCATAATGTGATGGCATAACCGTGGCTGCTTATTTGCTTGTTTATGTAATTGGATGATTTGTGATGGGGGAGCCTCTCTCATTAGTGCAGCTTATAAAGACTCCCCTATAAACTGTTTCAGTGCTTATATTTAGAATCATGAATAAAAATTTAGCTGATATCACTCTAACTCCAATTCTGATTTGGTTCAAAGACTCTTTTCAAAAAGGCACACTTTTACTTATGTAGACTTAGCAGATGGCGTAATTATAAACTTAGGGTTGCAGAACTAGAAGCCTCTTGGCAACATCACGCTGTTTATCCTTTGTATACAAAGCGTGCAAACCAAACCACAACTCAAAGAATCACCAAAAGAATATCTGATTCTTAGCTGTGGTTTAGCTTCATAATTACTCAAGCAAACCAACGTCGTCGTACCCAAGTGTGTAAGTGTTGTTACCACAAAAAGGCAGTCCACAGCAGCACACAGAAAGGCTTTTTGTTATCTTAATATGTGGTCTGCTAAGTAAACAGTATATTATGTTGATGTGTATCCTCTGTAAGAATATGAAGAATCTGAACTTCGAAGGATTACAAAGACTTATAATAGAAATATATTAAGTGTTGAAGCTAAGATCTAATTAAGCAGCATGGTTTGTAAGGCATCCATTTAGCATTTGATTGAAAAAAACCTTGATTCTTAAATTTTGCTTTCTTTTTTCTTTTCCTCTTTTTTGGAAGATCTAGTAACCAATGGATTAATCAATAAACCCCAACCCCTAGACAGTCGAGAGCGACAGAAGTCATCAGATATCCTGGAGGAACTAATTGTTCAAGGAATTATACAAAGCCACAGCAAAGTATTTAGAAATGGAGAATCATATGATGTCACGGCAAGTAATTTTGTAATTAACATTAGCTTATAGTTAAAATTAGCAATAGAATATGATGGATCATGAGTCATTATTTCCAGCATATGCAAGTTACAATACAGATAACAGCATTTATTTAAGTCCCTTAAATTCCCCCCACACCTCCACACACCATCTCATATGGTTTGGTTCTGTGCTCCCACTCAAATCTCACCTTGAATTGTAATCCTCAGGTGTCAAGGGTGGAACCAGGTGGAGGTAATTGAATCATGCAGGTGGTTTCCCTTATGCTGTTCTCATGATAGTGAGTGAGTCTCACGAAATCTGATGGTTTTATAAGTGTCTGGCATTTCCCCTGCTTGAATGCATTCTCTCTCCTACCGCCTTGTGAAAAGGTTCCTTCCACCATGATTGTAAGTTTCCTGAGGCCTTCCCAGCCATGTAAAACTGTGAATCAATTAAACCTCTTTTCTTTATAAAATTGTTATAAATAAACGTAATTTATAAAGAAAAATACCCAGTCTCAGGTATTTCCTTATAGCAATGTGAGAACAGACTAATACACCATCCTTCTTTGTGGACTCAGGAATTGCTCCAATTATTAATGATTAATTGATCCAGTAAAATGTATATTGGGTTTTACTAAATTTGAGAAACAATAGGCCCCACTGAATAACATACTTTCATTCTTTCAAATGTTTTTCTTGAGCACTACCTATGTAATAGGCATTGTGCAGGGCATTAGAAATGTAAAACTGAATCTGATTTATTCAGTAAGAAAATAGGCCCGACAAGTGTTTGAGGTGATGGCTATGCTAATTACCCTGACTTGATCATTACGCATGTATCAAAACATCATACTGTACCCCATAAATATATACAATTCCATGTCCATTAAAAATAAAGTAAAACTTTAAAAGAGAAAATAAATAGGCCTAAATGCCAAAGCTAAAACAAATATGGCTGTACATTTATCCATATGCACACCCCAAAATCAAACATGAAGAATTAAATAGAATTCTAGAAATTGCTGTACTATTATTTTTCTTTGTTAATTTATCCTGATTAATCTGTCATAGTTTTTCCTCAGCATGAATAATATTTTTACTCTGATTTTAACTAGCTTGGCTAAAGTCTAGAGTTCTAAATTTTTTTTTTTTTTTTTTTGAGATGGAGTCTTGCTTTGTCACCCAGGCTAGAGTACAGTGGTGCGATCTTGGCTCACTGCAACCTCTGCCTACTGGGTTCAAGCGATTCTTCTTCCTCAGCCTCCCCGGAAACTGGGATTACAGGTGCCCGCCACCATGCCTGACTAATTTTTGTATTTTTAGTAGAGATGGGGTTTCGCCATCTTGGCCAGGCTGGTCTCGAACTCCTGACATTGTGATTCACCCGCCTCGGCCTCCCAAAGTTCTGGGATTACAGGTGTGAGCCATTGCGCCCTGCTCTGACTGAGTTCTAAATTTTTAAATAAATTCTGTGGAAACCTGTGAAGAAGATAGCAGACTTAGTTGTTGGTGTTATTTTGTTTTGTTTTCTTGTTTGTTTGGGTTTTTTTTTTTTTTAAGCCAATGCTCCCAGGCACTCCGAGTAGTCCTTAAAGTACAGGCAGAAGAGAAAAAGTGAAAATAAATAAATAAATAAATAAATAACAGTGAAAAGAAGCCAGAGAAAAAAAAGAAAAGAAAAGAAAAGAAGCCAGAGAAAAAAATGAATGAAAAAGTAAAGAAAGAAAAGGAAATGGTGGAAATAGAGATCAGAAATTACCCAAAGGCTACTTAATGGTTGCCTATCCCTGTGTTGTCGGGCAAACAGTCCATTAGGAATTAAAAACTCATTATTTAAATCAAATTTGCCACCTAGACTGAGTTACTTAGTGTTTGAATAAAGTTAATTTCCTTCTTTGTGTATGGGGAATGTTGAGAACTCATGAATAAAAGCCAAAGTGGCATTTTCTTTTGAAAAAGGAAAATAAATCCTGCAGAAAGTATTTGGGAGAAAGGAAAGGAGATTGCCAAACCTTGTGAATAACATTATCAGGCTGCCAATAATAAAGAGGATGTCGGGGGGTAGGGGGAGGGCGGAAAGGAAGGTAAAAATGGATTATATAATGGAAAAGATAATGCCAACATAATGACAATTTACATTTGCACAACGCTATCATGATACAAGGCATTTTGGAGTGCCTTATCTTATTTGAAAGTACTAGAAGAAGGATGGGTTTTTAATATCAAAGGGGAGAGGAAAGATTTTTTTCTAGCTGTAGGTCAGTCTGTAGGGGTCAGAAAAAAAGAAAGTGTGTCAAAAGAAAAAGGAAAGCAAGTTTGAGAGGAGGCAGATAGATTGTGGAAACATTCAGTAGCTAAACAATGTCTTAAGGAAAATGCTACAGACACTTCGATGTCTACATACATACGCCAGTAGGAATCACATTAAAACGTTCTCCGTGATTCAATTGCCAGAGATGAATGAGTTCTGACTTAGACTTCGCAAGGGAGCCTGCAAGGTTAATTAATATAAACTACCTTGTGAAAGAGATGCACCTTAAAAAAAATCATAACTATGGGCTGGACTTTTAATAGCATCATTAAGTGAACCAAAGATGAAGACTATTTTTCATATTATATAGGCATAGAACGGTTGTTGGGAATGTTCTCAAAAGGATTTAAATGTAACAGCTTTCAGGAATGGCACAATTTTGTTTTTTTGGCTTTGGTATTAGGCCAAGATATCCCAGCATAAGCCAGTCTTGCAACAGACCAGGCAGTAACACACAGCTCTCTTGTTCTATCGCCTAATCCAGTGGTCCTTAACCTGCCGGTACATTGGAGTCACCTGGGGATATTTCAGACATCCCAGTGTCTAGGTACCACTTCCTACCACACAGCCTGGGCGTGTGGCCCTGCTTTCACACTTCTGAAAGCTTCCAGGCGATTCCCATGGGCAGCCCAGGTTGAGAACTACTGCCCTGAAGTTTCACCAAAACTCTACAAAATGCTCCCAAATTCATTACCAAAGCTGGGAAGGGTTAAAGCATTTGAAATCATTCTTGATTCCCTATTCATTGTGAAAGAGAATTCTGAAATATTCCTGAAAATATACCATTTCAGGAATAGGAACTAAGATTATACTCAGGAAGCCTAAGGAAATAAAAGAGATGCAGTTTCTGTGTCACAGATAAAACTTCTTTCAATTCAGGGGTAACTGAGAACATATGTGTGTCAGACACCAGGTGTCTTGCATATTTTGGGAAGAGTTATGAGGCCAACGTAAAAAGATGAGAATGAATATTGAAGGACTGAGAGGGGAACTGTATTAAGAATGGAAATATTATTAGATAATATTCATCATTAATAATATTAATACTTTGAATATCTAATATTTAATACGTTTTTCAAACCCAGACTGATAAAACTGGCTAAAAACAAAACAAGAATTCAAGGGAAACAAAAAAGGGATAGTCAATAAAAAGATATTATGTCAGCAGTTACTACAATGTGGTGAATCTTAACAGACATGTAAATATTATTTCTTCATTGCTCTAGGGGAAAACATTCTTTTAAATAAAATATTATGGGAAAATTGAATAAATGCGAAAATACTTTGAGTCTCATGCTCTACCAACTGAACTAGCCAAGCAGCCAAGGAGAATAATTTAAAAATAAGACTTCTTACGTGGAACAATAGTGTATTTAAATACGAGGGCATTTCAGACTTAGATCTGGCTGCTTCTTAGCCAGGTCATTATCTTTCATTGAGTTATTTAGAGTGAAATTGAATAAAGGATGTTGAAAATTGAGGGTTCACCTTCATGAAGGTCCCTCTTCCGAAGCAGGGGCATCCCCCATAAGCCAGTCTCTCCCTAGAGGTAAGGAGAGGATCTGTGTCCACCACAGAGCCCCCTTTGTCTTTTTTCTTAATTTTATTTGTAAGCTTGCTAGTGAACACCACAGTAATTTCATAGTACTCTCTGGATAACCATCTTTCAAGAATGTTTATGCTAGAATATTTTATGTTTACTTAAGAGTTAAAATCAGGCTGGGCTAGGTGGCTCATGCCTGTAATCCCAGCACTTTGGGAGACCAAGACAGGCAGATGGCTTGAGCCCAGGAGTTTGAGATCATCTGGGCAACATGGTAAAAACCCATCTCTTAAAAAAAAAAAAAAAAAAA